ATAGCATGTTTTCAAATGCTCTGTTGATAACGAATGATGCATTTTAAATTGCCCCAATCGTGCAGTTTGTTTGTAAATGTTCCTGTGGAATGATAACTCAAAACAAATAGGTATATTATATGAGATCCGTATTTTGTTTGGTTTATTTTTGGTTTACACAATTTTCAAATGATAAGTTTAATTTTTGAACGCCGCGTGTGTTTTCTCTCGTTCTGGAAAGAAAATAACGGAAATAGAATCCTTTCAGCTATCCACATACATCATGCTTTTTGAATACGTGGAAGTAAATTAATACACTACAAAATAGTGAAATCGGATGAGTATTTATTGTTATCCGCAACTCACCATAGCTCGCCGTTGACGAGATGTGCAAGTAGTCCTAGAACTATCAACCACGAAGGGTTGAACTTCGAAACACCAGCTGAAATAAAATACAACAAAGGGAAGTTGATGATTGACAACTTTTGCCATTATGGAAAGTGTATAATTCACACATTTGATTGATTAAGTCTTTTGCACGAATATCTGGTTCCACTTTCACACTCACCCAACATGTAATATACAATCACATCGTCAAATCCAGTGCTGTTTGATGTATCTCTGGCTCGCCTTATTACTGAACTTGCAGCAACAACAGGAGCTTCCATTTTTGACATTTCCGCTGATGCCCCTTTTCCTTTCTCCGTTTTTACTTTTTCTTTTTTCTCCTTTTCCGGAGGTTCCTGCCCTTTTCCCTTCGATGTTTCTTCCTTGATGTTTGAATCTGTTTTACTCTCATCCTTTCCTTCCGCACCTCCTGAAGGATTTGGATTTTGAGCTTGTGTAGTTAGTGTTTCTGCCGTTGTATCAGCGGCTGTAGTAGTCGTGACGGAGTCCGCACTCACATCAATCGCCGAGGTGGATGTGAATACAGTCGTTGCACCTTTTGGACACAGAGTTTCTGATCTATCTCCACTAGTCGCCTTCACACAATTGGTTCCACTCGTCTCCTGGAAGTGAATCAACATGTTTGCAATGAAACGATCAATGTTCCAATCTTCAGTGTTCCATCTCTACTGGAAAACGTTCTTGTTCACTTACATTGACGTAGACCTTCACCGCTGTACCGGAATCCGATTTGACACGGTACTGGCAGCCCGTGCCACTCCCTTTTACAACGAAGCTCTTTGTTTCGCCTGAGGCCTTAACCTCTTCACANGAAAGACCGTCGTATGGAAACTGCTTTACTTACCGACATTATCGCTGATACAGATAGCAATAAGCAGCAATTTTATGATACTTGATTTCATTTTCTCAGACTTTCAATGAGCCAGTACCCAGTGTTTTTATATAGTGTGTTGCATTCATTTTTGAAAAGATGTCGATGATCGGTTACTATCTTTATTATGATTCACGTGATTGTTAGACTACTTCAACTCCGATATCTCACACGTAGTTGCTGAACCTGTATATCTTAGAAATCATGTGAAGACTATTGGTTCTCAATGGTTAAAATGAGCACGTTCTGGCGTCACGATTTATGGAGAATTGTTTTGCATTAGTACTATGTTTTGTGTTGATAATTTTGTATCCAAGCAACGGAGGGAAATCATTTTTTCGAACGGTTTACCCGGCAAGTTGCAAACGTCCGCCGTCAAGAAACGGTGAATGTTGCAACAAGCTAATTTATCGATAAATCCGTTGTGGTCAAACGGTTTAGTTGAGTTGTTTGAGACTGCCCACCTCAAACGAACATGACTTGCATATTTGTCTCAATTCAGGCGGCTAGATCTTATCATGTCAAAAATTATTAAATCAAAAGTTTACGACACCATTGAAATGCAACAGTATTCTGTGGAACAAGCGAGGTTTGAGCTTGCACGTAGCCCTTATAATTACTCTCCGAACTTGGATCAGTTGTTGCTATACCCGAGGTTGGTATTGTTCTGCCGTGAAATAATCAATGAATCCTCCTGGCGATAGTACGCCTAGTGTGTGTGAGCCAGGATCAACTGTTTTTTATATAGTGTGTTGCATTCATTTTTGAAAAGATGTCGATGATCGGTTACTATCTTTATTATGATTCACGTGATTGTTAGACTACTTCAACTCCGACATGTCACAGGTAGTTGCTGTATGTGTAATTTGTTAACATCGTGTGATGACGATATAATCTCAAAGAATAATAATGGCATAGTCTGACGTCACGATTTATGGAAAATTGTTTAACATCGGCATTGTGTTATGTGTTGACAATATCGATATACAAGCAACCGTACGCAGTTGATTAGTGTGGGTTTTGATCGAATTCACTTTGAGGCTGCAAATACAAAACCATGATGCGCGAAAATTATTTCGTTTGACTCGATCCTGTTCGGATGCATTGTCTTCATCCGTTTTTCCTTGTATCGTGTTTAGTTTCAGTTGTGCAGTTAGCTATTTGTCAGTGAAGTCATGCGCTTGAATCATAAATTCTGGTTTTGAACCCCAAGCCACCTTCGTTTAGGACAACTGAACTTTCCTTCGGACTTCGGACACCTTCACGCACGATCCACAGTTCATCGGTTCAACCATGCACTTGGAAGCACTTGACTCCAGTTTCGCCCTTATTATAGCTGATCACTAGTGCATTTGCACCGTCCAATCCGGAGGATAGTTACTCAAATCAATCAATATCACTTATTTCACACACACTACTCAGAAGCAAGTATGAATCGAATTCGAAGAAGAAACAAACCTGATACGTTTGTGGCAAGTTAGCCCGTATCCTGCACGGGAGTGCCGAGTTGGTGGGAGGTTTTTGATTGAAGTGAGCAGATTATCATCTATCTCCCTTCGTTGAGTTCGGGCCAAATGACCTAACTGACTATCACTGAAGACAACTTCTAAACAAACATGAATGCGCGTTTTGTCCATGGCATGAGCTGGTTGGCACAGTTGTAACACACTCGTCTTCCATGCGATGAGTCCGGAGTTCAAATCCCGGACAGGACCGGTGGTTACTGTTTACTCAACTCCACACATCACAAAAGCAATTAATCATCATGTGCTTCAATAAAACAAATCGCCACAGATTGGTACTGATCCTCCATAGAAGCACACTGCTTCTGTCATAATTGAATGCATTCCTATAAATGTTTCTAAAAACGGCTTCGAGTTGGAACGGCACTGGGATTTGAAAAATATATCTGGACGTGACAAAACCAAATAAATCAAATTTTCCAATTCCGTCATGAAAAATTGAGTTAGTTTGTAATATTTCGAATCGAATCAAAACCCTGAAGCCTGTCGCAGAGATGCATCATATGTAATGCTTGTAATAAGCTCAAAACTATTGATTTTGCTAAATGGTGTATGGCGGAAATAAAAATGAGTTTATCAACTGCCTTATACTCGAGTGGATAGCACGCGTGCTTTGGTTTGATCCCCAGTTTAGTCCACAAACTCACGGTGCTGATCATTCCTAACCATGTCCAAACACCTACATACTGTTTCCTACCATGCTAGTTCACGGTTTGTTCACTCTTTATACGACGAAATGCACACAGGTAATTCTTATTTGCCAGCATCCAGCGAATGAGTTGCGATTTTGTCTCGCTCGTCAAAAGATACTGCTGAATTTGTCTCACTGTTTGGGCATAATGATTCCGTGTTTTGAATGACCAAAAAGCAGTGAAATTCGTAACTGTTCCGACCTCAGTGTAACCTGCTCCGTCCAACCAGAGTATATGACTGCTTGTTAGAATGGCGCTACTTACAGTAGAGCCCTACATTAAATGGTCCACAGAGAGGGGTTAATCTGGGTTTCAAGCGCACATTTTATCATAAATTTATCAGAAGGTCACTCCAATATTGTTGACATGTGCATATTTGCCACGTTATGTCGAAACTTGTCAGCACCTTTTCAAGCTTATATTCCAAGTGAAATATTCGTGAAAGAACTTGCAACCGGATATATTTTAAGCTGATGGACTTCGGAGCTGTGAATTTTGTTAACCAGCATGACATGCGCTATTATGTAATTTGTGTGGAAACAAGCAGATCAATCAGGATTGACTTGTACAGTTTGGCTACCGGATAAAGCAAGCAGCGTGTCGATGGGTGAAAATGGGTTTTATTCGATGAAGTTTGAGCATCAACCAAAACTCCCGCTCTATTCTCACTCATAAAAAGTCTTGAATCCCGAATAAGATGGATACAGTTGCTGTTGTTTCCTTGTTTGATTGTGCACACCGGAAGGAACGTATGCGACTTCACAACATTAATTGTGTTTATCAACTCCGTAAGCCTGTCCAATATATTGTAAACCCAAACGACTTGTAGTGATTGTAGTAGTAGTAGTAGCAGTAGTGCACACTGAACTCGGAACACAAACCACGCAATACGAACAACAGAACACGATTCAAGGATGAGCAATCACGGATTGAATCGCATAAGCACTGCACCGCACTGGCACTAGCACGAAATATCCCACCAAATTAACACGCGAGGAAAAGACTACAGCAGTAGTAGTTCATTCATTGAATGAAATAATGGGGACTATTATGCACAAAGTAGGTGCCTTGGTTACCCCAGCGTCTATCAATCGCGTTCCGGTATCGCTTGCGTCGTTCTCCTTCTGTTTGGGCCGAACGATCTCTGATTGGCTGGTACGATCAACCTGTGATATTTAGTCTGAAGCCTCCACACCAACTCGCTTTATTGATGTCACCCGTGAAGCTTGATTGATCGCAGTTGTCCAAAAACTGTACCATGTCACTCCAGAGTGCGCGTCATCTCGTAGGCCAGGATTAGCACGGAAAATCAAAGCTAGTATATATGTAGCGCGATCTATTCTGATTAGATAATTGGAAAGAAGCATAACAGAAAAGTCAGAATTTCACACAATGGTTCAATGTGTCGCTGAGTATATGAAACATGCTTTGCTCTTTTACTAGATCGTTGTCACGAATAGAAACACATCAAATATTTAGACACAATCTTGAAACTATCTTTGCTTTTTATCAAAAATACATACGTCTGCTCTGTAATCGTTATTCCCAGTCAGCATCACCAACTAACCTGTTAGCGCACATATGGTATTCAATCGCATTTTGCACAGGTTGCTTACTGCCATTAGGCTTCACACGATACCCGTTCCTTGCAAGGGAAATTCGCGTAGGTGAGCTATGAGTCAGTTTCAGAAACATCACGGCCTTGAACAGTACACTGTGTTCATTTTCAGAGATGAAACAGGGTAAAAGTGGCGAACTATCGCTGGTCATTATTCGTCACCTATTTTTGTCTAATTCGTTCAACTGTCGTTTGTGCATAACTCTAGCAAGTGATACGCTATTATTCCTAAGTACGAGTATATTTCGACTCACACTATTTTTGGAGCTAACAAATCCTGCACAAGTACGGTAAACAATAAAGTGACCGAACATTTCCACGTTCCTTGATAACAACCGATCACACCTTCTCTGGATTTGACAAAACTCTTAGGTTAATTCATGAATCTAAGTTATTATCACTTGCGTTTGTGTTCATTTTGCTGCATGTCTCATGTCCGTTATGAAAATCACTTTGTATATAGAACATGCTAACATGCAGCGTTTGAAAGGGTTAAACCGTCATCGATGAGCGTTCGCCTTGATGGATTTGGAAATCTCTGATTTCGCACCTGACGAAATATGCCACACTGAAATGTGTCACTTTATGGACACCATATTTGCATATGCATGGAACATAAATCAGGACCCATCTGCAGACGAAGCAGCATAAATACCAAAGGACAACCGTGATAGTTATCCAATTGGGTAAGGAGAAAACACTGTCTTGCTAGCCATTTGACTGTTCGCGAATATGAGAACCGTTTGAGATGTATCTTACCAAGCCATGCCATTGGAACCGAGAACATATATATTTTAAGATAATGCTAAAGTACTGTCAGATGGAATAATGATTAATAAGTGCACTGGTGGTCTTCTGAGGACGCGCTTTTTGTGATTCACCGACATAAACAGTCAAGCTTCATAATAGACAGATACCAAATGTGATGCTGCTTTGCTTTCCGTAGTTCTAACAAATACGGTTCACTGCAATTGACTTGAAGTTGTACTTTACAAGGCTGTATTCTGAACACCAGCGTATGGCGATGTCTTGTCCAGGTATTCTTTCTTAATCTTTACCGGCTCAAAGGCATCATTCAAATAAATTAACAATTCAAATTAGTGCACACTGATGGCGTTGACTGTTTGGAACCAATTGGAATTAAATATTCAGACGAGTAATTTTTTATTGTGGCGCAAGTATCCTCAATATACTTTATCCTCTGTATTTTGATTTTTTGTATGCAACAATTCAATTTTCACTGATAGGGTGAAGGCGAAACATCTAAGTTCAAGCGATGGTGGTGTGAGTTGAACGTATTACTTCTGGCGGCTGGTCCTTCAATCTNTCAATCTCGAATACGGCCAGGCGGAATGCTTTGATTAGATGCACCTTTATTATTTTATTGTTCAACATTTGGTCTTATCCGTTGCGGAAACGTGTACTTCGTTTCATATAGGATTTTTACTTTGGCAGACGCCGTATTTGCAAATAAACCAATAAATGCTCCTCTCACTGGATGAACACATTCCAAAATTACTACCTTCTCCCGTCGAATAACTTAGTGTTTCATTCATGTTGAATCTGACGGATCCAATTTGGAGGCCACATTCGAAAACTAGCTGTTTGTTTTCGCTAAATTGCTTTCGTTTAAACTTGGAACCAAAAATATAATTGAAAGGTAGCGTTTGTTTACTGTTAGCTGAAGCGCTTTTCCATACAGAGATATGTGTATTGAGCACCATGAAAAGACTCTCGGTAAATAAATATATTTATATGTAAAACAAAATAATTTGTGAAGGCATGATAGTTAATAATACCATCATTGAATTTATCCATTTTGTTGTTCAGTTACTTTGAGTTCTCCGTGGGCCGTGTATGTGTTGGTTTTCTGTAAAATCAAAATTACAATCAGCTTGTCTCATTACTCGTGTTCATCATATAGACAAACTTCTTAAAGAAACGTCATGGAACGTCAATTCGTCAGAAGAACATAGAACAAATTACATTACGCAACTCACTAAATACTGCCGTTGATAAGAAGTGCAACTAGCCCAAGGTATAGGAATACCGGAGGATTGGACACTGATACGCCGTCTGGAATCGAGCAGAATGTGAATGAAATAAACTGAACTAAATATTCAGTGTGAACAGAGAAACAAAAAACATAGCGAAAGAGTATACTTCGAGCAATTTGTTGACCTAAGTATCAGTTGATATGTGCTACTCATACCCTGCTGTTTGAAGCTCACCTAATACGTAGTACACAATTACGTCGTTAGATCCGGCGTTCTCCAAATTTGCTCTGGCTTTCCTCAAAAGCGCAGGACTGATAGCATCCGTTCCTTCCCTTGATTGCTTGTCATTGTTTTCTACTCGGACGTTTTGTCGTGCATCATTCCCCGATGGTAGTCTTTGTTCTCCAGCTGCTCCTGGTTCTTTTGGATCGGGCTGTCTCGACGATGGATCTTCCTGCGACTTATCTTGTGAAGGCTTTTTCCCAGCTTGTTGTGAAGGTTGTGTGGTCGGTTCTGTCGGTGCTTCAGTTGGTTTAGTCGTTGTGGCCTCTGAACTAGTCGTGTCGGAATCCGCACTCACCTCAATCGGTGAGCTGGATATAAACTGATTTGATGCACCTGATGGACAGAGCGTTTCCGATTTCCCATCACTGGACACCTTCACACATTTCGTTCCACTCGTTGCCTGTAAACAAATTAAACGTTATGCAAATATAAACAATAGTTCTCTTTCACTGCCCCAATTAGATTCACCTGAATTATGCTTCACTTACATTAACATACACCTTAACCGCTTTGCCGGAATCCGATTTGACACGGTACTGACAACCGGTGCCACTGCCCAATACAGTGACTTTCTGTACTTCATTCGATGCGACAACTTCTTTACAACTCTGTGCATCTTTTGTTGGTAATGTAAAATAATTTTCTCCAACACCGGTTGACTTACCAACGATCCCGCTAACAAACACAGTGATCAACAATATTTTCACGATATTCGATTTCATCTTCTCTGAGTTGCTATTTGTTGGTAACTGCTGGCTTATACATTGTTTTCAACATACATCTTCCGGTAGGATGTCGATGATTGGTCACTTTTTACATACCCTCACGTGACTGCTATGTAGCTTCGTTGCAAAATGCGATACCCCCTCGTTGGTGCTATTATTTCTAAAGAGTGAAATTATAGTCTGCTGTCAGCAGCTCAAGTTAACACAGGTTTGCATCACGTTATATTCTGAGGAATTCTACTCAGATTTCACTTATCCGATGAATAATTTCGGATGAATGTGCAACACATTGCGAGTGTGACAAATCCAGAAAATGTGGTAAGTGAAACACGGGTTTGGTCAAAGATCATTAGGGTCTGTTGTTCTTATGGTTTGGTTTCATTTATCGATTCCCTGTTACTATAATTTGAGTTGACAATTCTATTTCAGTGGGTAATGAATTTTTATTTTGTGAAAAAGTAAGTGATGCACGAAGCGGAGAAGAGCATTTGAATCAAGCATGCCTTTTTACCTCGAGCCAGCCAACTCTTATGAGTCCACTGTTCAAAGAAGCGTTCATCAAATATAATAATTTATTTTATCAATTATTTCTAGCCTCTTTGGTTATTTCGTATCGCAACACATCAACAATCACAGCATTCTGAACGAAAGACTTTGATAAACGCTGACTCCGTATAGGCGGTTCGAATGTGATTGGTGTACATTTTACTGGCTGTATTCGACACAGATGCTAAACGGTATATAAGGTGACCAGTTTCGTGAGTGTTCATCGAGTAGCCTATAAACGAGTGAGATAATTCGATGACGTAAGTTTAACTGCAGATGATCATTGAATAACTGTTATCTATGGAATAAAATTACTGGCACTGAACATGTCCTGTCTTGGACAGACACAAAATGAAAGACGTGGCTTGTGTGAAACTTCACTTGTGTTGACGAACATTCTTTTATCCAAACCCGTGAGCACCATGACACCGAATAGTCAGTTTATCTCCCTCATCATCAACGATGATTCTATGGAATAATTAGAAAATCATTCAATTGGCTGGTAGCGTTCTGGCTAAATATGCACTTTGGGTTTAGCCGACGATAAATACAGAAATATTCCATCAGTCTACTGGTGGGGTACATCTGGGTCTTAGACCATCTTAAATGTCTGCTGTTTATCGATGATACAAAACAAATTATTTGCTAATCGTGATGCAACGTTGTTGATAACGTGAATGGGTTTGAAATTAGTAGACGAACAGACCAAACACACGATATCGAGTATACAATCAATTTGTCTTATTCCTAGGATCTGCCAATTGATGAAGAGAACAATTATTTGTTCTCCTAAGTCTGTAACTCACTCAAAGCAGAAATTCGAGAAGCTTCGAAGCAGACTTCATTAATAACGCCCAAGAATTGTTAGTCATAGGGATTTCACACTGAAGTAGGTTAACCCAATGTGAAGTTGCAGCGCACACATTTACACTCGGGCTCCTTCGAATATGATCTGCGCTTTCATATTCCAAGGTAGAAGCTGTGATATCTATTTGTAGTGTAGACACCCCACCGAAATCCACAACATTGCGAAGACCTTCTTCGCTCTTGATCCAGAGAGTGCCCAAATTGATGAAACAGCAATTTAGACTAACCTACAAGCACGCATCTTTGCAACGGGACAGTGAACAGATGAAATGACCTACTGACCGAAGTAATCAACCTTTAGAAGATCTGATCCTTTAAAAGTCCTTGGAATCAAGAAGGCTTGAGGTTTAACTAGACACAAAACGTGTTCGAAGTTTGGAACTCCAGCATATCTCTCGCAAACAGTGGAAGATGTTGGGATTTTACTTTTCTCCTGCTGCAGGCAGAAGCAGAAACCGATCAACGACATACGTGGACATATATCCGAGAGCACCATCAAAGGAACTATGAACTCTGTTATGGTCGTGGTCACCATCAAATCTGTACACCATATCCGATACGTCGCAAAAGAGACAATAGAGTCAATGATTTCTTCGGTTGATCTGCGTCGAACGGCGAACATCAGAGAAGTAGAAACTATAATTCTTGTAATGAAATATTACTTCAACATTCTGAACGGACAGACTACCAGTAAAACAAAACCCTTTGCAAATACCACTGTGTAGCAACTTGTTGAATACAACCACATAATTTGTGTGAATGTTGCATTTTTTGTGGTACTGCTTGCATGTATGGAGCGATTCAATCTCGCCCCTTGTGCATCCAAAGATAATTAATGAGATCATTTATTTTATGCGGTGGTGAGAAACCTAGAAGGATTACATCGACTGGACATTGCAATTATCAAATGTGGTGCATGCAAACAGTTCTCGTTAAAATTTTCATGAGAGCAGGATGAAGATTTATGATCAAAGTATATGTTGAATTCAACTAGTTTGGGGTAATCTCATCAGATGTGTACATAAATTCAGATCAGGTCGATACGAAGGCCAAAGGTCACCACTATGAACCGGATTGGGCATAGGGTCAGGGAGCGGAGGCACTGCAGGACGGCGGGAGGAGTGAGATAGGAATGGGACAGTGATATTTAAAGGGCAGCTCAAGGCTAGCCACGACTTTGATCTGCTTACATAAATCCGGCTTGTCGAATGGTAGCCGCTTCAGTGACTTGAAACAGATCGCTACCTTTTTGGCGGGTGGAGACACGAAATGCGTATCTAGGTTTGACACATTATTTGCAATCCAGAATGTTGGTCGAATGAAAGTCGGTGATTACGCTCCCTGCTCCAATACCAGATCCGGCTCGAATTCCAGATCGATAGCTTTCCTATTGATTGGTACCTCTTCCCCCTATGTTTTCCACGGGCCCTAAAACCGTCACTCGTTTAGCCAACGGTGATCGAATGAATGTACATATCTGATGAGACTAACACAAAATAGTGAAACCAATCACACCGTGAAACAGAATACGTCTTCTTGCTCTCGAGTATGTGCCAATTACCCTGTATTCATCTCACAATCTATGATCCCTAAGGTACGTAAGCTGCTGCTTGAAGCTCATGAACTCGTTCGGTGATAGCTTTTCGATTACCACGAAATAAATTCAAACGCAGAGACTGAATGGCTGAGGTTACCGTCTCACTCTCAGAAAGCTCGGAGATTTGCCGATGGGAAAGGGAACAACTGTGTTTCGGTGCACTCACTTTATTTCATAGGCTCATTTTAATTCTCTTACTCGTAAATCCTTTTCGACTCCAACCGCCCATGACCGGTTTGTGCTCCTTTGATATGAATGTCCATCGCTTAAATAGTCCACCCATCCACATTCACACACACGGAACGCGTTTAAGCCTTCTATTTTACTGATCCATCTCGTTTAACTGGTGTTTGACCTTCGTGATTAATTTCATATTCCGACTCAAGGGTTTGCGAATTAAATGCTAAAAGGGGCACAAAACGTGTGCACTGCTGACGAGTCCTAAACAGTGCGAAACAGCTATCCGATACTCCTTGTCGATTATCACAGATATTTCTGTGGCATGTAAATGCATTAAACGGACAGTAAATTAACCAGCTCCCACGATGTGAAAGCCACACTCAAAGGGGAGTGTTAAAATCCGAATGGGATAATTCAAGCATTCACCGTGTAAGCTAATTTCATCCGGATTCAGAGCAACATGTGGAGTGTTTATATCACCCCTATAGAAGTGTTTCACCCTTTCACATCGTCTCACCCCCCATCTTCGCCCAATACCACACACAGCTCTTTTTCTCTTTAACTCTCTTTGAGAACTTATTGGATACGTTTTCTGCCAAATGCACACCTCGATGACTTTTAGGGTTCCGCAATCAGTATAACAGCTTTGAGTCTACTGGATAACTTATGGTTCTACTTGGAGTGAAAATCCACAGCACACAACCTTATTAAATGGATGTCAAATAAGCCTCTGTTCAGGGTGTAACGGTCATTCAAACATGGTCACGAATGGCGCTCAATTGATGTTTCGTCGCATGTCGATTCGTTATTGCTCACTCTTTATTTATCGACATATAGATGTTTAAAAATGCATTTGGACTGTTGCAAACGGGACGTTGACTAGGGACAACCGCCACACAAAACCATACAGGATCGCAATTTATTGATTGACATTAGCATAAGTGCAAACATGTGTTTGATTCTGGTGTACAAGAATTTACTAATCAACCTGCACGGGAGGAAAAGATAATGTTCAACCGAAGTAATGTTTGAAAGTTGCGGAGCGACGGACTTGAAATTTGCAAGGGAAGCATTCGACACTGAGTAACAGATTTCGAGAAGTTAACGCCAAGAACACTGTATTGCATGTGCAATGATAGTGCTGCATATTGGAAAAAGAAGCATTTTTGAGGATTGTCGATCCCACTTACAGTACAGGGTCGCTGTCGATCAATGGGCATATTGACAGCATCTTGTAGTTCGAAGAGGACAGGACTGAGCGAAAACTAGAACTAGTAATTGAGCATATCAATCACGAAGGTCCGAGGCGTTACGCTGCAATGCAAGTTTACAGCCTGGGGTATTGAAGCGAGCGAAGAATGTAAAGAAGGCTTCAATACTGAGAACAGAACGTGGAAATTGTTTGATTTAAGTGCAGGGCCACTGGCAATCCACTACTGTTTCACATATTGTCTTCAATAGTGCTAAAATCCATAGTACCAGTAACGCACTGAGCAGTCTTTTTCCAAGTAACCAGATGAATGTAATAGAATGAAAGTGTTGTGAGATACTGCTCGGTTGTGAGTGGTAGGTAACTGTCAATGCTCACAAATATAACAAGACCATCGAGGACGATATGATGTTCCTGAAAGAATAACTACCGACTGTTCCATGCATTATTCGATGTGCTGCCAGGACCGACTATGATATGTTTCTGATTAGGTTTTTGTGTTGTGCATGCAAAAATACTGACCTCCAATCAGCAATCCTCAATAAACGGATGTTCTCTACCAGCACCGTCTTGTAGAATTATAACACAGGGAATGTTCACACTCAAATCTGAACAATCATACATTCATGAGGCGCTCACGGTTACTGGTTAACAGCGTAACAGTATTCGCGCAGGTTCTGTAACTGCAGTATTCAATACACCACTTTTCTCCAGGATGTTTAATTCATTTCTGAAAGTGAGAATCCACGGATGAATTTCTCTAGTGGATGTCAAAGATCCCACTTCCTACTGTGAGTCGACCCGTAGCACATTAAACCTCTCCCCGCCGAAAAAGAACATTTATTACAATAGTCAATTATCGTTTGTTTTTTGGTCAGAGAACGTGTGTCTCCGGTTACGAACCTCGGGTTTCGTCATCCTTCGGTTGTGAGTAGTAGGTGGTTTGGTTTACGCGGTTCACTGGTGTTTTTCTAGTGTCCTGTTTCAAGTTCATCAAGAGGCTGATGCATAATATTTTCCATCTGTCAATCGTGAATTGGGGGACGTTATTCGTATACTTAATAGGGATCGCTGAACGTGGTAGATCCAACTTTGTCTGCTGCTACCAGTTTCCATGAGATTACCTGGGATAACGGTTGTTTCTCATTTATTTTGTACTCTGGACCAGTGCATCGTGTTTTCTCTTTTACCAACCCAGGCTTCACCGAGCTTCCATTGCGCATTTTGATTCACTCTCGAGGTCGCATACTTGCATGGAGTTTTGCGACATTTTGCAGTTGTATTCGTGCATATTTCTCACTTGCATAGGCGAATGAGTGATGTGTTCGAGATAATACAGGTACCGCCGATACTATTCATGATTTACAGATGCTTGTGATTCCTTTGGTTTGAAATCAGAATGCGGAAGAGTATTTCCTGTGTTCCTCACTTGATGAGGGTAACAGAAAATGTAACTGTGGGCCTGAAATTGAAGTGGCTTGTTTTTCGTATTAAGCGCGGTCACCGCCAAATGGGCGAGATGGTCTTCGCTTTGAGGCTATCTGTATGAACTTTTGCTATTACTTCTGCTAGTACTACTGTCACAACATCAAAAACAACAACTGCCTCTGCATCCATGAAAGGAGCTTGGATAAATTCCCACTAAATAGTTCACTTTCTATGTACAGTCAAATCTTGCATTCGTCAGTGAAAACGCATCTGCGGTATGCTGCTGGAAGCGAGTGAGCTAGGGTACAATTTGTTGTGTTTGGCAGATAACTGTGGACAACATTCCTATGGTTGTGTTACGAAAAGGTCACCAGCTTCAATTGGACTGCAATTCACTCATTCTATGCATTTAAACTTCGTCGTTATACGAAAGAAGTTACAAAAACACAAATCCATGGATATTTTTACGTCGAACATAAAATCTTATTCTGCAGTTCTCCGCTAAACAATAAACTTTGAAAGGAAATCCCAACCCACAAATTTTATCAACTGGATTCCGGTAACCTTCAGGAAAAATCGATCGAAAATAACAACGTATGAATGAATTCAATATTTCCTTCGAACAAATACATTCTGGTTCCTCATTTTGAATTTGTCACGTAATTAAAAATTATTACTTTTATGCTCTCCCCATTTTTCTTGTGCACCGACTCTCCTGTAGAACCTGCGAATCGTCAACGAAAAAGGAAGGACACGGTTCTTATTACATTCTAATATTCGTCGGCATAATAAAGCAATATTCCAGTTTGTGAGCAAATTTTGATGCATTCTCTTCCTCTCTGATTCTGGAAGTTGGACAATGGAAAAGCAACAGTATTAATTTAACGGACTGACCCGTTTCGCTACACATGTGCAATCATATTTAGAAAATCATGCAATAATGAAGTTTACTGTGAGGGGTTGCAAATCCTCACTCACTATAGATTGCTGAGGATCAGAAAAGCAATGAGTCCCGGGAGTAGGATCATTGATGGATTCGATTTCGACACGCCGTCTGAAATAGATTATCGTAGAAGAGAGTACACTATCAGTAGGTTCGGATATTTTTTCAATAGTTAAGCTAAATTATATTCTTTAAACAATCGAGCAATTTTCGCACAGATTCTGTTGTATAAACAGCTGCAAAATACTCACCCAATACATAATATACGGTTACGTCATTAGAAGTATCTCTGGCTAGTCTGATAAGTTGAATATCATCTTTTTCTGGCTTCACTGGGGATTTTTCTTGTTCATCTTCTTGCTGGTCTTGTTCATTCAACTTTTTCTCAACTCCCGCACCTCTGCTCGAACCAGTCTCCTTCTCGTTTGCTTTCTTTACTGATTCTTTTTTTAAACTCACATCCCCTTCTTGTTTATCTGATGATTCCGAATTCTCCGATTCTTGATCTCTTCCTCCAGTCTCTGGTTTTGCTGGTGGTAGAGGTGCTACCGTAGCTTTCGTCGTCGCTTCTATCGTAGGTGCGGTTGTCGCATCTGAACTAGTCGTGTCAGAAACCGCACTCACGTCAATTGGTGGGCTGGATGTCAATTGGTTCGTTGGACCTGATGGACACAGCGTCTCCGATTTCCCATCAGTGGACACCTTCACACATTTGGTTCCACTCGTCGCCTATGAAAAAGGTAACTAGAACAAGTCATTCAATGTTTCACGCTTCATAGTCTCAGGTAGGTTTGTTTGAGTTGGTGTTCACTTACATTGACAAACACCTTAACCGCTTTACCGGATTCCGATTTCACACGGTACTGACAACCCGTGCCACTGCTCAATACAATGAACTTCTGAACTTCTGTCGTTGCAATAACTTCTTTACAATCCTGTGCATTTTGTGCTGGTTATAGGAAGATAAATGTCATGATACTGAGTTACTTACCGTAGATCTCACTGACACAGAACGTGATTATTAGTATTTTCACAGTATTTAGTTTCATTTTTGTCAGTTGTTGTGTGCTGAAAACCGCTGGCTTTTATATTATGCCTCACAGTCATCTTTTTGGCAGGACGATGATGATTGGTAGCTTGTTATATATACTCACGTGACTCTTATGCTACTAAAGGTTTATCAAGTGGGTTCCGGTATGTTCTAGGAAAAACCTGTTGTGACTCACCCAATACGTAATATACGGTTACGTCATTAGAAGTATCTCTGACAAGTCTGATTATTTGAACACCATCACTGGCGGACTTTGCTGCGGATGTTTTTATTTCCAGTTGGTTTTGGTCTTTATACTGAACTTTTATGCACCTCCAGCACTACTGCCCGAAACAGTTTCTTCTTCTTTAGCCTTCTCTGTCGATTGTTTCTATGAACTGGATTCCTTTCCTGGTTCCACTGACGTTGTTGATTGCGATTTCTCCGAATCTTTTCTGCCTTCTTCAGTGTCTGGTTTTATTGTTGTTGCAGGTGCTGTCGTAGCTTCGGACTTCGCTGATGCCGTAGGTGAGGATGTCGCATCTGAATTAATCGTGGCGGAATTCGCACTCGCCTCAATCGGTGAGCTGGATGTCAACTGGCCGGTTTTCAAATCGGTGTCGAAATCAGTGCCAGCATGTGAGTCATCCGATAGTAATAATGACATTTACAGATTAATTTGAACTTAAATACGCCCGTCACTGTATCATTCACACATACAAACACAGGCATCATCTAGTTTTTTTCTGTTTCCTGGAATTATATAATTCTGTGACCCAGAAAGAGTACCGTATATGACTAGCAAATGGTGCACCGAAAAGGTGATTGTTTGCCAAATTAACTTTTTGATGCATTCCGAAATTCCCGAATGGTGGATCGCTTCATTACTGGAGTTCCGGTGGTGCCCGCTAATGCTTAAGCAGCATCGAATTCCTAAATTATCCCCATCCTATACGGATCCGAGAATCAGAATAGTCAACTGCAAGAGGGGAGGTGATGTTTGTCTTGTTAACCTTAGCGGGAAGCCTAACATAGTGCACAACCTTGAATCTTTAGAATGCCAAGTGGACTTCTACTGTGCACATTAGTAGTGCCATCATCACACCTCTGGATTACAGGAGCATCACAAACATTACGATTGGGTGATCAGATAGTATGGTGTCGGATCAAAGCACAAAAGATCGACCTCATCAACTCTGGGCTGTCTTGCTTTACGTCCGACCAGCCACTCATCTGAATACGAAATACGACAGAACGCGTAAATCTCTAAAAAGTGAGATTATCAACAGCTTTATGAATGCACGTTAGCAAACGTGGATAGTTATGTGCAGATGGATGGTGAAATTCGCAGCTATGGGAGACATTCGCAAATCTTTCTGTGGAATAAGGAGCGAGGGCTTGTGGAAAGTAGACGTAATCGATATTATTGAAAAATCCAAAGGTGCACACTTTCGTTATTATCAACGTCGCTTTGAGCGATGAGCAAAAAAGTTTGAAGCTCAGTTCAACGGGCCGCATCGACACTATATATAATAACCCCTCTTTTATGTTGAGTTTAATATTCAATCTGAAATGTACATTTCCCGGAAAATAAATTATGCAAAATGTATAAGACTTTCGACTGAAACGGTTTTTCCTTATCATCATGTAAGGTCGGAAGTTGAGTCCTGATTTTGGAGTTGAGGACACTCTTCGAAAACCACAAAGGAGTTATTTTGATCAAGAATATCTCTCAAGTTCTCACTGGCAGCATACACCTTCAAGCGTGTGCCACCTTTAAATAGTGCCAGCTGGTTGCTGACCCAGTCGAGGCCATATAAATCATAATTTCGCTTTTCCCCAAAACACCAGAACACACACACTCCTTTAAACACCCACTGTGTCTGTGTTCCTGAATCAGAAAGTAGTTTTCGACTCAATCGACAGCTCTTTACTGTGGAGCTCCCATCCCTGGAGGATGTATCCGAAAAGTTTGTTTCAATATCGTAATCCCCTAACACAATTAACTGAAGCTCAGTCCGAGCTTAAGTGACCTTTGGACCAAGTTTCTCACAGATCGGTGTTCGTCAGAGTGGCAATATCTGTGCATTCATTCATATGAATATTCGTAATTTTATAAAAATTAAAAAAACTCCAAAACTTCGCTGTACCGAAAATTGCTTTTATTTTTGGTTTAAAATTTCAAAATACTACAATCTTTTTCTTAAAATGTCCGTTGACACTTACCTGAGTAGTGCAACAGGATTTGGAGAATATTTAAACGGCAGACATTACTCCGAGTAAATGCTCTTTACTCACAAATGTCGATAGAAATGCGTGTTATTTAAAACAAAATTATATTTCCAACTTAAGGTTGCTGTTGCACGAGTTCTACCACTAACTGAATAATCGTATGCTTCTGTGGTGATCGTGTAACGAATACTCACGCACCGCGGTACAGCTTCCGCCTAACCAATCAATAATAGAATAACCGACCAATCCTGTGGTCCCGATTGGCATCAACCAGATTGGCGAAATACATGAAGGTATAATAATAAACCACACTGTCGCCGATTGGACGTCCAGAAACCGACCAATAACTGTTGGTCGCATGTGATATATATTTGCGTGTTTTTTTTAAATAGAATCATCTGTATCCACAGCTCGTCTTGGTTTTACCTTGCGTTGCGTAATTCAGTGGGTCTTCAGTCCGAGTTCAAGTTCGCGCTGTTCAATTCCGGTTCCTATTCGATTATTACAGCTTCCCAAAAATGTTCATGCGTATCCCGGTATTCCCCCTTTATGTGGGAATGAAATGAGTTGGAAGTGGACGTGTTGCAAACCGAATTCAATTCTCCTGGCTTATGATCTGGTGTGTACCTGAAGCTCGATAACTAGTTTACCACCACGCGTGAACACTTGACAGCCCTTTCTTCGGATAACCGGATTTATATGCCGGTGCTTATCGCTCGCGAAATTGTATCCATTAGAACAAGTGTACACAAACAGCCCCATAACTTTTCGGAATTCACCAGAATCTCGAAATCAATTATGAAGTTCAAAATTCTTTGTCATTACTTATAACGGGTTGAAAATTATATCATATAAGGAAAATATTAGCATTTGAAATGCGTT